TAGTTATTCTAGCATAACTGACCTTTATTGCAAATTGCCTCGTTTTATCCTAAAGAGCCCACTGTTTGTGGGAACAATTCTCAGGACTCCCATTGTCCTTGGGAAGTAATGAGTTCTCATACTTCTCAGTGTTTAACTTTGGGGGGTGGTTATGCACGGCCTGTCAGATGATTAGATTACTTCCCTCATCATTAGCAACTCTTGTCCTTAAACAGGCAAGGAAAACAGACAACATGCCGTGTGGAATCTAGACACACTCATTTATGTAGACACACACTTACCCACCATGACTTATACCCAAAGGTACCCATTTTAAAAACAGATTCAAAAGGGAAACTTCATTGTCCTTGAATTCCTCCGACAGATATTTGCAGGCACCTCCTGTGTGCCAGGCACAGGGAATGCTCAGTGGAAGAGAAGCACGTATCCCATCCTGACCGCTTCGTTTCCCGTGTCCCTCAAACCCAAGGCCACCATGAACGCCAATTTCTTTTGCTTCCCTTCAGAGATATTCTCTGCATAAAAGAAATATATTTGTGTGTGTACCTCACTATTTTTTTTAATCCAAGTGATAGCATACTATATATCTCACATCTTGGAGAATATTCTAGATGGATCTAGCTCACCCGTCTTTCTTACTGTTGCATGGCATTACATTGGATGGTTGGAGGGTTATTTTATGATGTCCCTATTGCTGGACATATTTAAGTAATTTTTAGGGGTTACTTTTCTTCTCTTTGGGGACCTTGTCCTCTTTCTCCTGCCTTACGTTTCTTCTAATGAATCACTGTATTCCGTGTCGCGCCATCATTAATGATTCTGGGGAAAGGGACGTATCACCACCCTCACCCTTGTCCATACTTCCTGAGAGATCCAGGCCCGCATGCTAAGTTTACATTTATCTAGTAAGGCCCTATCTTTCACCCCACAGATTTCTTGTGATTACCCTGTAATTGTTGCTCATGAAGACAACTGATCAACAGTTCTACCCCCGGATCTACTTCTTTGAATTGCAGCAGACTAGAGAGTTGGCTCTGTCTGGGAGGCATCGTACGTGGCACCTCAGACTGTTGTTTCAGGCTGCCTGGGCTGCTCACTGCTCAGTGTTCTCCCACGCTGGGGCAGCCAGGGACCCCAAAGGCTTCCCTCAGCTCCCAGATCACAGCCGGCCTCCTTTTCCTTTGAATGGCCTTGTTCTTCCTGTGTGATTTTATTTCTACCATAATGTAGAAACTTTTGAAGATCAATCAAAGCACATTAACTTTAAATGCATCATAATTAGCTTGCTCCTTTTTGGATGGCTCTCTAAAGTAGATCTAGTTTCATTTCTGGAAACCTTCACTGTCAGAAGCTTGCTTTCTTATACTTGGTCATAAAAAATAGGAAGCCCCTTCCCAACTTAAATCTTTAGAGACTTTGAAGTGACCTTGACCACAGGTTGTTGCTTCAGCTGTACCTTCTGGTCTTTGTTATTTCTGCTCTTCTTCACGTTGACAGCACCATTCTCTGCCTTTGAGGTTCAGTTTTTCCATTTCCAGTTGTTTTTTCCCTCTTCAGTTCCCGCTTTACCCTTCTGTGGATGTCTTTTTTTAAAAAGAAAAGAAAAGAACCAGTTTCTTCTTCAGAGCTTGCTTGTTGCTCTGTGTTATCTTGTACCCAAGCAGCATAATTTACTGTTCTCTCTTCCTCCCTCAGATGGTTAATCAGCAGGCCTCACCGATCCCCTTTGTATTAAAGGGTTTTATCGTGATGCTAACCCAGTTTCTTACGCTGGCAGTGAAATTAAGTTGAAAAAAATTTTTTTTCTGGACATAGAGCCTCTCCTCTTTGAATTTTGAAAATCTGGAAAAGTTAAAGTTTACTTTTAAACTGTGGCCCCCTTTCTTTTTTTTAAAGACGATATTTTAAAGCTGAATCTGTAAATTCTTTTTTTCAGCCATGAGTCACTTAATTGCCACTTACAACTTCAACAAGTAATTACAATTATGACATTTCTGCCACATGCCCAACACTGTTCTAGATCCTGGAGACATAGGTAGACTCTGCCTTAAAGAAGTCCACTTCTGTGAGGCAAGGCATTGGCCCATAACATAGTCCAGGAGATGGAGCCAATGTGCTCGAGAAAATTACAACAGGAAAGGAGGTGGGAAGTTCAGAATGGGGGTAGTTTCAATTCAGGTGGTCAGAGAAGGCTCACTGGGAAAAAGCCATTTGACCAGACTTGAAGGAAATGCTGCAGCAAATACGGGGATTTATGTGGAGGGAGAAGGGGCTTCCTGGCAGTGAGCAGAGCAAATTTGAAGGCTAAGGAAGCAGATATGTGGCACCTGGAAGGAACAGCAAAGAGGTCACCATGGCTGGAGGGTAGTGAACAGAGGAAGTCAGCCAGAGAGGTTCCCAGGAGCCCATGCCATAAGGCCTCTCACGCCATGGCAAGGACTTTGGCTCGGGCTCTGAGATGAAGAGCCATTGGACAGTTTATAGCAAAGGAGTGAGGTAATGTGTCTTGTTCTGTCATGTAGTATTGTCACATGTTATTCAAGAGGATTTGTGACTGATGAAAAACAGAGTAGCCTTTCTTCCAGTTCTTCTGTGCTTAGTCTGTTGCAAGTATGAAGCAGATCTGAAGGACCCCATGTTTTCCCTCCTCTTCCTCCCTCTTCGATTTGTTGTGTAGATGCCAAGACCATTATTATCACTAACATAATTATTTAATAAGCCTTGTCTTTAAGCAAACGAGAGCTTTCAGTAACATTAAGCTTTTTGTAAACTCAATCCTGATTTAACATATTTCTTTACAACTTATTTCTGTACTTCCTCCACAAAGATGAGAAGATAAGGCTTAAAATGAAAGACATTTAAAGTTAAAAGCCATAAATATAGAACCAGAAAATAAATCAGAGTATTCAGGAAGAAGCCAATGTGGCAGACCCATTTGGGAGACTGTTGTGATCGGCTTGTTTATTTACCCATGAACTTCATGGAAGCAAAGCTGAGAAGGATCCCAACAGATCACACAGTTATCCCAACCTGAGTTTTTCCAGACCATCATGCTCCTCTTTTTGCTTCTTACTCTAATGCAAGCTGCCACATGAAATGTGTTTTTAACATACTTTTTCATCACCAGAGAGTGATTACTTTCTAAAACAAGTTGGTCAGTATACATTTCACCCTTATTCCTACTGCGCTACTTATATGTGAGGAGTGTCATTTTTGCCAAAAGAAACAGCTCTCTGCTAAAATTGTAAGTTTTGGTAACTGTAGACATTAAAATCTAGGCCGATTTAAAAAAATTTTTTTTAAGATTTTATTTATGTATTTGACAGAGAGAGAGAGAGATCACAAACAGGCAGAGAGATAGGCAGAGAGGTGGGGGAAGCAGGCTCCCCGCTGAGCAGAGAGCCCGATTCGGGGCTCGATCCCAGGACCCTGGGATCAGGGCCGGAGCCAAAGGCAGAGGCTTTAACCCACTGAGCCACCCAGGTGCCCCAACAATGTCTTAATTATCAGCTTCTGAAAGCAGAGATTGTGTCGTTCATCTTTGTGTCCTTGGTATCCCCCAATCTGCCCTTGGATCCTTCCTCCACAACTTCGAAATCTCAAAAGCACAGAAAACAAAATCTCATCAATAGCTGGGAACCAAAACTTGTGCAGAGGCAAAACCTGAACCAAGTGAGACTATTTTAAAAATCTTCAGTTGTCGGAGTGGTTTGTGAATACTCACCTGTTTTACTACGGAAGTGGCAAGAGGTTTAATTTGGGTGCTCTGCAGACCCTACTGGGTGTTTCCATAACATTTGGTTTATGCATCTTATTACTTCCCTAAAATTTAAGTGTAAATCGCAAAATACATCTGGCCCCAAAGGTTTCAGAAAGGGGATGTGGGGCCTGTCATAGCCAGTCCCTAGGGTGGCGTGGGTACCCCATAAGCGTGAGCGGGAGTGAAGTTTGGTTAAAGTGAGGCACCTAGAAAAGGGGAGCTTTTCCACAGCCAGGCCTGATGACCTTGAGGTCTCGGGGGAATAAAAAAAGATGATTCAGTTCTTACAAGCGGCGCATTGAAATGTAGCCTTAATAGTCTCTTGGCGTATAAGTTGTAATTGGTCTTCCATTAACCTAATAAATCCCAGGAGTAGGAAGTGTTATTGTTAAAACTTAAAATTATTCCTATTAGTGTCCCAGCAGGTGCTTTTTATGTGATTCATGTATTTTTTTATATTGTCTCCGTATCTTATCATTTTGTATCATTTTGTTTTCCTTCAACATTTTTTAAGGTGTCACATCAGCCATTTTCATGCTGGTGATTTAATTGCAAAAGCACACGTAAACAGTTTGAAAGGTGTGAGAAGAAATTCACAAGTCACCTGGGGAACAGCAACAAAGCTAGCATTCAGTCAGGAATTCCTCTGCTGTGCAAACAGCCCACTGCCAGTGGGTCAAATGGTGTGTCCTGAAAGTGAGAGAGAAGCGAGCTTGATACAAGACACGTTTGTTTCACACTGAAGATAGGGTGGGAAATATGGATATGAATTAAACATAGGTTTTCCTTTCTCAAAGCTTAGTAAGGAGAATAAGACGTGTCCATAAAATAAATGAAATACACAGCAGAACATACCAGAGGAGAGTCTTTGTGGCTCGGGAGGTCAAGAAGGGAGATCAGGAATGAGAACTAGGTACATAGAGAAGGTGAACTTGTGGAATACAGTTTGGGAAAGACAGAGGCCAGCTCTTAAGAAGCTCTGTGTTGAGTAGTAGGGATATACAAAGAGATAATATCATGGGAAGTGGTCAGTGATATCCTGGGGGCTTTGGAACCATAGCAGAGACTAATCAGCCTCTGGGAAAGTGTGTAAGAGTTGATTTTAAGTCTGGGTCTTGAGAAACACAGGAGTTTGCCCAGAAGGGTCAGGGTGGGTCTGAGAGCTTACTGCAGGTAAGTAAACTCTCCACAGTAGGACAGCGACACTAGGGTGACTTTTTATATTGTACTATCATTGCAGGCGAATCACACATCTCTTCTGGACAGATTCAGAGTGGGAAAGGTTTGCAGAATAAAAGTCAGTTTAGGACCATTGCACCAAAAATCATGCCCAAGGTCCTAACATCCAGAGTGCTATCGTGCCATTCCCCATCACTCTCTGATCAGGTGAATCCAGGACCCTCCATCAACGCCAAGCCACTGGGAGTGCCTGCCCAGAATTATGCTCTGATGCAGGTTGCTGGACAGGAAGGGACGTTTTCTCTCGTTGCTCTGCCACACGTTGCCTCAGCTCAGTCAATCCAGAAGCCCAGATTACCGCTGCCTGAAAACGTTAAACTGCCTATTCCTCGATACCAACCTCCGAGAAATAACAAAGGATCAAGAAAGAAACCCATTCAGAGCTCCTCTGAGACTGGTGCTGGCATACCTCCTGCCCAAACCCATGCGTCCCCCTCCCCACTTGACCATCCCGAACCCCCGCACAAAGCTGGTCTGTTGGAGCAAGTGCCGTCACGAGACCAAGCCCCAGCCAGCATTAGCACGGCAGCACCAACCAACCAAGGTGGCCCCGGGGACTCTCCACCTCTGGTGACCAGTGACTGTGGAGATACGAGCCCTCCTGCCACCCCACCATCGTCGACACCAGAGGAGCTCTCTGGCAAGCAGGATCTCGCAAAGCCTTCAGGCAAAGCAAACTTGGTGACCAAGAAAACCTGCAGTAAGCCTTCTTCCGTTGCTGGTGAAAAGCTTAAAGAACAAGTTCATCTTGCAAAAGCCATGACCATTTTATCACCCGCTGTTTTTGGCAACACGGTTCAGCTGATCTCTCCAGTCCCCAGAGGTAAACTGCCAATCCTCCCCTATGCCCGGATGAAAACAGCGGAGGTGTGCAAAGGTCCGTCGGATATTAACACAGCAGACAGTTCTCTGCCCGGGCTCAGGGCCGTCTGTGATCAGACAGCTTCCATCACGGAGGGCTTTCATGCAGCCACCGAAACAGTTGGCAAGGCACCTGCTCCACAGTCGTCAAAGCAGAATCCCTGTGAGAGCACTTTTTGTCCCGCCACCAGACTGGATCTAGGCCACAAAGCCAAACTGAACAGCGGGGCAGCCAAGAGAAGAGTACGGAAACGAAAGGTACCAGAGGAAATGTTGGCATTTCAGGGGAAAAGGAGGAAGTGTATCATTAATAAGTGTAAAGATGGTAAAGAAAGAGTGAAAACCGATCCCCAGGAATCCAGGGACCAAAAACCCGGGGCTCTGAAGAAATACCGCAGCATTATGCCGAAGCCGGTGATCATGGTGCCCGCCCTGGCTCCCCTGGCTTCTCCGGCAGGCGTGCTTCAGCCCCACGCCCCTGGCAGCCTGGGACAGGACGTTTTGTTCAGTAATCCACTCACTCCTAAGTACCTGGGCTGGAAGCAGGACGGTGGCACGTCCCCAAAGCCCAGCTCCACACTGCGGAATGGCTTCCCCAGCCTCAAGAAGCCCTGGCACAGGTGTCACGTGTGCGACCACCACTTCCAGTTCAAGCAGCACCTCCGAGACCACATGAACACACACACGAACAGACGGCCGTACAGCTGTCGCCTGTGCCGCAAGGCGTACGTGCGCTCGGGCAGCCTGAGCGCACACATGAGGCTCCAGCACGGCGAGAACCGTCTGAAGAAACTCGTGTGCTGTGAGTTCTGCGCCAAGGTGTTCGGTCACGTCAGAGTCTACTTCGGCCACCTGAAAGAAGTGCACCGGGTGGTCATCAGCACGGAGCCCTCTCCCGGAGAGAGGCAGCCGGGGGAATCGCCGAGGAACAGAGGCCTGGCTGTGCGAGGGACCGAGGGATCCGGGGAGAGGTGAGTGACCCTGGGATGCAGGCATGGAGGCGGGGAGGGGCTCGGTTTGGGTTTGGAGAACAGAGCGGGATTTCACATTCAGAAAGGTGACTTCATAAAAACATCCCCCAGATTAAGATCTCGACAGGGAGCTGCCTCTTCCTTCTCGTTCTGTTAAGAGTGGTCTCATCTTTCTTGGGTTTCCGAGCAGTGCGGGTGGCCCATTACGCTCGCCCCTGTAGGGCAGGGCACACGTGCCAGGTCGGGCTCTGCCGGCGACAGCAGAGTGAGGGAGGATTTTGGCCTCTGAGACACGAATCCGTAAGGTACTGCCTGTGGTTCCTGGTGCTTTCTGCACACTAATTTTCCCCAAACCTGCGGCCACAGAATTTACATCTAAACATTGTCCTTTGCCCCAGAATACAATCTGACCCATGGTGGGGACTCGCCATGCTCCACGCTGACCACAGCCTCAGGTGCCCAGACCCAGCCCGCGACATTGGCCCAGTTTTTCCAGTCAGGCCAGATTAATGTTTCCCGTGTCACTGCTGCCCTGTGCAGGTCCTGGCTCTGGGCTTTAGGAAGCAGCAGTAAACCATGGAGTTCCACAGTCTGGCCTCAGGGCTACGAGCAGTGGCTACGCCAGGTGGTCCCCTTCCATTTGCCCACTTTCCACTGGGTGACGGGGGGAGTTTCACTGAAATCCATTTTCATTGCACCAGGAAAATTAAACGTTTTCTAATCTTAGATGCTCTGCCCCTCATCATTCTTAATTGTCCTAATTGTTCCAGGTACTTTCTATCCAGTTGTGTCTTCCTTCGTTACATTTGTTAGGATCTTCCATCTGGCCTATTTCTTCCCGGCTTTTCTGTAGTTTCTCTGCTTTTCTTCGGGCATTCCTGTCCACTTGGGGACATCTGTGCCTTCCATTAACGCACATAGCGGACTCCCTCAAGAAACCCTACCTTCTTCATAGTCTTCTATGGTACAATTTGATTTTTAGGTAAAATGTCCAAACTGCTTTGCACGCTCAAGATTAGTGAGGAAGGGCAACCGTATGGCTGAACCAATGGGGTCCTTGCCAGGCTTCACTTGATGCTACCTGCCTCTTGAGTCGATGACACCTCCTTGGTCACCAAAGAGCCATTAGCCCCTCTGGGGGAGAGAGACAGGATAGGAAACACCCCCTCCCTCAGTGGACACTGGGAGCTTGAGAACCAGGTGGCCCCAAGCAGGAGTGATGGCCGGTATTCCCCGAGGCCTCTGCTTCCCAGGTGCTGTTCCCCCGCCATTCCTGGAACTTCTCCTCAGCGGGGGTGCTCTGGATCCCCGAAGGTGAGCGTCTGAGAGGAAAAGCTCCAGGGGCGCTTTTCGTGAAACCTTCTGTTGGCTATTTTTCCCCCTTTCCAGGGAAAACAAGTCAAGCCTGGAAGAGGACCTCCTCCTTACCCAGGCAGATGAAGTCAAGTTACAGATCAAATGTGGCCGCTGTCAGATCACTGCTCAGTCTTTCGCCGAAATCAAGTTTCACTTACTTTACGTCCATGGAGAGGAAATTCAGGGCCGGCTGCAAGAGGAGATCCTACCAGGAAGCAGAGGCACTCAGGAGGAGCTAGTGAAATACGCTGCTCCCTTCTGGAAACAGCATCCTGAGAGAAGAAAGCTGCTTCACAAGCACGGTCCCCCTGAGGAGGAATTCCCCGCATTTCCCAAACTGAAACGGCAGCTCTGCCTTTATCCCCAGAAGGATATGGAAATCCTCAGAAAGGCTGAAGGAGCCCAGGCAGGACCCAGCGAGGCTGGTGCGGCCCCCTGGGCCCCTGAGGGTCCCAACCCCCACGTCCCCCTGCTTCGGTCCCACTCAGGCTTGAACTGCATCCTATGCACACAGACACTGCCAAGGAAGGAAGAACTCCTCCTGCACTGGGAGCAGCAGCACAACTGTGAGAACCCTTCCAAGCTGTGGACCATCTTACACACGCTCTGCCACCAGGGAGTGATCGGACTTTCCGACAAATCTGAACAATGAAGTACTGGGGTGGGAAAGGGGGTTAACGAGAGTGTTGCTCACTGGCTTTCTCTTTCTCTCAAAGCTTTGTGTTCCTAGGGTGGTGCTTCATTATAAAAGTCAAAGTTAGCATGAATGAGCACAAGTGATTTTGTACATAGTTTTATTTTCTTATGAAATAAGTAAATATATATATATATATATGTAATGTGTATATATATATTTATATATATATATATATACACACACACATGCACACAAACCCTTGATGTATATTTTTCTAACTATATTCAGTTTTATCCCAAAATTCTTTGTACTAACTGTCAATGTCCTAGACTTCATTTGAAAATGAATAAAAAGATAAAAATTTGGAGATTGAAATGTAAAAGATGAGAGATTTTTTTTCAAATACAGTTTGCAGCATGTCTGAATGTATGCGTCTGTCATTTGGTTCAGCTGGTTTCTGTTTAAGTAGACCGACAAATGTGATACGTTTCCAGGTGGCAAAACCAGTTCAGTCTCAAGTGTAGTATAGTGTTGATATTTATCAGATTTGCTGGGGTAGTAGGAGAGGCTATAGGGCAGTACATTTAATAAGGTTCGCGTTTACTGTAATTGAAAATCCATGTTTCCAGGACTCAGGGTTTTTTTTTTTTTAATTTTGCTATTTTCTTAAATGTATGTTGCATTGAAGATCAGATGTTGGCTAAGCCTTATAGCTGTAGTGTTCCATATCAAAGTAATCAAAACTTTTTTAGTACCTCAGCTAATAAAAAAACACTTTTTTGGTTAAAAGTTCTTTTCAAATAGTCTTTCGGGCCAGGAAATTTACAACCTGGAAAGTGCACTAGGTGTGCAGTCCAGATGTCGAGGTGTCTGAAGAGCTTGCCCTCCCCTCCAAGGAACTTCACAGGGTTGTCCCTAGCTCATTGGCTCTCCAAGCCGCTGTGCCTTTAAGCCCAGGATTCGCTTTGAAAGTCAAAGAGTAAATGGTTGCCTCTTAAATTCCTGGGAAGTGACCTCTCGTCAGAAAAGTTGCCATTTGGAGCTCTGGGCCATCCTTGGCTGCAGAATCATTTTCTTAGAACCAGGGAGTGTGAGCGGCCAGCCAACTGGAATTTCAGCCTATGGGCAGAGGTACCGTGCATGTGGCCCATTTTTCCATGCTGCAGGAAGTTGCCTAAGCAGGAGAAACTGAATTAGAATTGATAAGCTTGTGGATCTTAAGTCATCTGTTTTTAATGTCTCATTTTTAAAAGCAAATGTTCATAAGCAGGATTTGGCTCGAATCGTCCAGAAAGGTAAAACTCACATCTTGCATTTTTGCTAATCGTTCTATAAATTTGAGAAAAGGAGGGTAAAGGTGGAAACCTCTGGAAGATTTTGCCATAGTTTACTGACTGATCAGGCTCTACCGAGTTTGAAAGGGATCCTATCAGACCTTCACTGTTTGATACTTGGAGAACAGGGTTAGTAGTGAAACCGCTTTGCCATTCAGTGCAGCACCCAATTTGTTTGGGGAAGATGGGTCTGGAGACACTTAAAAAGGAGATCAACTGAAAATCCTACTTGAATTCAGACCATGAAACGCAGATTCCAACTCTAATTCAGACTCCTCAGTGCTCAGGTATAAAGCAGCATTTCTGAAATACAGGTCAGTTGGCTAAGGCAGAGGAGAGGGTCTGGAGTATGAATGAAGCAGAGGGGTGGGGACAGGGGACACCCACCCAGCATGGAAAGGAAAGTCTGAGTCCCCAAGGTTGTGGTAACACCCGCCTAGGGCCAGTGTTTAACCACAGATTCTTATAGCAAGGGTACAACACTGAGGGTGTAGTTGACCTCTAAAAAGAAGAGATTTAGGAATGGGGCACCAGCCCAGATAGAGAGGTGTGACCAGCTCATGCCTGGTTGGATCCCCGTCTCAGCAAGGCTCCAAACCCTAGGGGCCTAACAAGAAGACTCTTGTTAGGAGAGGAAGTGTGCAGTGTAGAGGAACCCCACTGGATGCCTATGCATGTGGGTTCACTTGGAATAGAATGTTCTAGTTCTCAGCTTCTAGAGACACTCCCCTACATTATAGTGGGAATGGCCCCAATGCCACCTAAGAAAGGGGCTTCTGGCCCTTAAGACTAGCCCTTCTTCAGCAAGAATGGCATGGCGAAAGACTCCTACTGATGGTGTGGGGACGGGGAGGGCCAGGAAGAAAAAGGAGTCCTCCAGCTAAAGTGACTCTGGGAATGGCTCATTTTGATGGCCCAGTGGATCTTCACTGATAAGCTTTCTTTGGGCACAGACGTGTTATTGGCACAGTCCCAACCCACATCCTTGACCCAAAGGCAGGGAGGGATAGAAATGTGCTGTTCCCTCCATGTGACCATGAGAGGGTGACCTGTCCAAGGCTCCACTTCCTCACCTGTGGAATGGAAAGGATGCTCCTGCCTCAAGGCACTGCGGTGAAGGCCCAAGGAGACCCAAAGGAGGTATCTGGCACACTTGGGCCTAGGAACCAGGGGCCGATACTATGCTTCCAGCCAGCCTTGGAGAAGAGGTATGTTGCACCATAGAAAGACCATGTCAAACAACTCAGGTAGGCCTCAGGTCCAGAATTCAAAAATGAAAACTCAGAACCATAGAAATACACATCTTTGCACAAAATGGGTATTTTCACTTTTCGGTAATCAAACCAGGACCTGGATTGCATGGAGGCTCGCCAAGGGTTTATTTAATTGATACAGAAAGCAGAATTCATGGAATTATTTTCATTCCAGGCTCTACTTTGGGCCTCGTATGTCTCCCTGGGGCTACCGCCCCCCCATCTCCCCCCCGCCCCTGGTCCTGATTTAGGTGGTACCAGCAGTTTCTTGAACTTGACAATGGTCTTGTCCACTTCCAATGTCAGACCATGAGCCTCTTGAAAGCAGGGATTGTGTCTGTTCGGCATGTAACCCCAAAGGATCCAGCACGTGACACTGGAATAATGTACAATCAGTATTTGTTGAAAAAAATAGATACATTAGCTAAATACCAACAGAACTGCCACTTGCCTTTACACGAATAAAGCCAGCTTTAGCAGCAACCAAACTCATAGCAAGGAGGGTATTAGAGGCAAATCTGGTCTTAAATTCAGCCACGCTCATTTTGCTTACTGTCTTTGCTTCTTGGAAAATTGTCCCAGAGCCAGCAAAACGAGACTTTTTTCTTTTCTTTTGGCCCTAAATTATTTCTGAAAGTTACAGCATTTTAGATTTGTATTGTTTTATTAGCTGTCATTTTTATTCATGTCCTCTTTTGTTTCGCTCTTTCTCTGGACCTCTTCCTGGTTTAGTTTGATGGTTCCTCCGTTAAGCTGTTCCTCATATGGAAAGTTGTCTCTTCATCAGCACGCCATAAATAATCAAACCTGGGTGCGTTCCATTACCTTCTCTGGCTCCAAACTCCTGCCTCCCAGCTGCATGGCTCCAGCTTTCTGTGGCCCCAGTGACAGGATTGTTGGCAATAAATGCTCAACTTCATTTATTTATTAGAATTCTCAGATCTGGACTGGTTTGCCCCATTCAAGCTGCTGACATGCTTTGTTAGGTACATATTTTATGGAGTCTCCTCTTTTCACTGAGCTCCTGAGAAACAGTGCCCCGGTAGAGATGAACTGGAGTTTAACGGAACAGGCTTTTAGCTTCAACTATATACTGACTTGCCCGACATTAGACCATCAGCAGCTTATCTAGGCTTGTGGTGCAATCCAATAGCTATTTTAACTATATCCACCTCTCCGGGAATGTTCCTTTTGAGGTGAAATGTTTATTGTATCTCCTGTTTGGTCATGGTCATGGTCATCCCCATCATAAAACTACAGCCACAATTTTGTGAGCATATTTTAAAGTTGGGTTCAGTATGCAGACATTAGCTTAGCGGTACATCACATTTTCCATACTCCAAAGTGTGAAAACATTTCAACATGTTGCCTAAGCCTAGGGAAAAAAAAAAAAAAATCGCTATCTGTGGAAGGAAACCAAATGGGACAACTAAAGAGAAATAAAGATGATCTGTTCTGATTTTGATGTGAAGCTCATCAGGGTTTCGTTTATATGAAACTTGTTCCCATCTTCAGAACTGCTCCCCACCCCTGGGTTAGCTTAGCAGCAAAGACTTCACCTATAATAGGAAGGCTATATCGTCTCTTTTGGTAGGCTCCAAAATCAAAATCGCAAGCAATTAACACGATAGATCATTTCTGATAAGTCAAAACAGCCACTAAGCCACTACTCCAAAATAAATAAATGAATGAAAGCTTTCACCTTCTATCATTAAATATGAATTTAATCTCCAACTCTGGAGTTGTAAAGAGAGCACCCCATCTTCTAGAGGCTTTTGCAGAAACAGCAATGAACCTGACCTGACTACTGCCTGAGTTGCAGTGCAGATCTGAGTAAAAAAATGTGGCCATGGACGAGATCCAGGTGGCTCAAACATATGAGTGCATAACCATCCCGGAGCTCTGGCTATATCTGGAAGCAATATTTAAGAATATGTTCTTAGGTCACTAAAACACTGCCTTTTCCTAGTGTAATCTGAATTAAAGCACAGTTCAGTTTTTCATAAGACATTCATGGAGCCAAGCCTTTTGAACCATAGTTACACCCAAGGAAAGTTAAAATATCCAAGACAACGAAGTCTTTTGAATGGTGTTTATTCTTTCTTGAACTAAAGGGTGGGGTTGGGGGAGCAAGAGGGCAGTAGTCCTATGTCAGGATGTGGTGGGAGGCGCTTTTTGATGATGATAATCCCCAAGGGAGCACTATCAAGGTAGCGGCGCTCCTGGATCTAGTGTCCCCCACAGCAAAGTGCCAGTAGTATTCAGGTACAGTCACAGTGGGGCGAATGAAATCAGACGCATAGCAGAATCGAAACCGCACCAACTTCTTGGATCCAGGATCTTCGGGCTCCCGGCACTGTGTCCTCAAGATATCAATGCGTATGTGCGCAGATGGATGTGTGAGGAAGGTAATGGCAGCGCAGGTGATAATGCATGGAAAACTTATGCAATTTACATGTCCATCCAATCTGGTTTAAAAAAACGTTACCGCATACCATATAATGGAACACCGCGCTAGAGCGTAGGAGACGGAA